CTGAGTGAGCAAGAGGTGGGGAAGTAAAAGAGGAGGTCAGAGAGGAAATGGGGACCAGATGGGGGAAGGCCTGTGGGCCATTGTCCTGAGGGAGATGGGAGCCACTGCAGGGTTTGGAGCAGAGGAGGGTCTTGCTGAAACAGAGATGTTTAGGCTCCCAGACCGGGTGAGTCAGAGGTAGAGGCCTCATTCTCTTCTCTTGAATACAGACTCCCTCTGCATTAGGAAGGGACATGGCTGCACGCAGCTTCAGGCCAACGCCACCACAGGGCCCAATCCTATAGCCGAGAGTGGTCTGCCTACCAGTGTCAGAATATAAACTCCCAGGGAAGGTCTCTGATTGTTCCTGCTTGGATTACAGGCCCACTCCTTGGACCAAGTACCATGGCTGACACATGGAAAACTGTAATTGGTCCTTCTGGGTCATGTGGCACCTGTGGTGCAGCGACTTAATATGGCCATTTTAGCCATGCGTGGTCTTATAGCTCCCACAAAATGGTTGAGTGGGACTATGCAAATAAGGAGCTTGTGGCCCACCGAGGGGATTGGACAGCTTGCTAATAATGCAAATAAGGTGCATGGCATCCATGTCAGGGTGGGACCATGCAAATAAGGTGTATGGAACCCTAACGAAGGGCTTGACCAGTTTTGCAATCCTGCTAGGCTTAAAATGGGGACTTCACTACTATCAAGAAAGAAGAGCTGGGAGTGGAGTGCATCCTTTGGACCCAGGGCCCCTGTGCTGATAACCTCCTAGACCCAGGAGACAGAGAGCTGCAACACCAGAGATGGTGTAAGATGGTAAGAAGCAATGGCAGAAAAACGGTGGCAGCAGAACCAGGAGACCAGCACGAGATAGTGCAGTGCGCTTCCTGGCCCACGGAGCAAGGCGGCTGCTATTGGCTTGCTGACCCACAGAGTGAGAAAGCTTCGTGCCTTTGGGCAGGAGGCTTACTGGTAGAGTGGGGCATCTCTGGGCACTTAGTGGTAGAATTAAAAGAGCTTTGTAACACTTTCCCAAGCAAGGCAGAGGCCAGGCCTGAGCGGGGCCAAGGGCCAAGAGAGGAAGCCTGTCCTGAGGGGACAGAGAGAAGCCTATCTTCAGGGGGCCGAGAGAGGCTGAGGAGGAGCCCTGCACGGCCTAGAGAAGCTGAAGAAGGGAGACTTTGCCTACATGCTTCCTGATCCTGATCCCGAGTTGTAGCCTGTTGATCCTGATCCTGGATTGTAACCTCTTACTTCCCTAATAAACCCATAATCATGAGCATTGTCTGATTTCTGTGTGGCCATTGCAACAATTTATCGAGCCCAGCAGAGAAGTAGAGAGTGCCGTGGGAGGGACAGCTGGTGTCAAAATTGGTGAAAAGGTTGGAGGGCAGAGGTATGTTTGACTTCCACCTTATGGGGATCAGCCTTGGGCTGACGTTGATTCTCTTGCCTCCCCCTTGTGAAATTAGACGAGGAGATCTGATGCCACCACTGTGCCATTTTTTTTATACTGCCCCATACCACGAGGATAGGGTACTACGATTGGCAGCCCTATCAGAATTACCGGCAATGGGGGTACAGTTCCTGAGAGGAAAGGTGTGATTTCTCAGAAGAAAGTAGAAGGGAGAGGTAAGCAGGGCAGATAAAAAAAACAAGTCTCACTGAATCGCTCTTCATGAAGGGAGCTCAGGAGGGGCTACAGATCTATTAGAAAGCGCTCACTAGCCTACGTTTGCACTGTGCTGTGTCTTTAGACCGCATACCATATTTCACAAGCAAGAACTGTTTCTTAAATGGGGACCGAAGCCATCATGATGACTAAAATGCAAACTCAACGGAAAAGGTCACCGGCTACAGTCATTTCTTTTGAGTGAAAATATAGACAGTCATTTTCTTTTTATCATTCCCCATTTTCCTCTTCACTGGATGCAGAAATCCCAGCAGTACTCACAGAGGTCAGGATCCAGTGGCTGAGGTGGAGCCGCTTCTTCCTCCCTCTGAGCCTCCTCTGATGTCACAGACAGTTAAACAACGTGAAGAGCTGGAGTTTCTGATCCTCAGGAAATGCCAAGAAGGGTGAGCTGGAATAAGCTACACTGAGACTTTCGACACAGCAGCTGCCCTTGGCTCAGGGTTGTAAAACTGTAATGGGGAGAACTTGTGTGTGTGTGTGTGTGTGTGTGTGTGTGTGTGTGTGTGTGTGTTTAATACAGTAAAGCAACACATTTTAAAGTTACATATCAGTAACCACCACCCAGGTCAAGATATAAAACTTTTCCAAGACCCAGAAGGCTTCCTTGTGGGGTGCAGCTGGAGGCTTCTCTTGCCCTCAGTTTTGTGCGTGACTGCTGTATTTCCCACGGGCCTCAGTACTGGGCCCATGGTGAACAGCCCCCTCCCAGTGCTTTGCACACAACTTCTCTGTATTACCGTCTCCAGGTCCCTATCCCCCTTGCAAAGCAGGGGTCACTAATTCCATTTTACAGGTAAAGAAACGGAAGCTCCGAGAGAAGTACCACCACTATTACCACCACCGCCAAAAACAACAACAGCAGCCATCATGGATTGAGAGCAGTTTTAGAGGAATTTTGGCCAAAGATCACAGGTTTCCTTATCCTTGCCAGATGCTGACTTAACTGGTTCTTTCCAGCAGGCGATGAGGAAAAGATTCCTCACCTGGAGTACAGATATCAGCCAGAAGGGTTCCCCTACAAACTCCTTCTTATTTACAGCTCAAGGTAACAGTATCACCAGCTCTTTGCTGATAAGGTTTCTATCTTCTTGTTCCAGAAGGCCAAGCAGGGCCCAGCACTCACCCAGTCCAAGGACTCCCTCACACATACACGCTCTCTTTCTCACACATACTCATCCCCACGCTGACACACATACACACATATACACACTCACACACACACGTATACAGTCTCCTCCCAGTTGTGTCTGGTCCATGACCAGAGGTGGTGCGGCCAGCAGACCCCAACCCCACAACTGAGTTTTCTGACAAGGAAGACAGCCGTGTCCCGTGGTTCGCCTGTACTGGGGGCACAGAGGGGCAGACGTCCTCCATTCTCAGATACAAGTATCAGCAAGGAGCAAGTTTGCACAGTTCTTCCTGACATACAGACCAGCTGAAATATGCTTCAGGGCATCTCATTCTTTGTATCTCCCATCCTTTATCGTGATCTCTCATTTATCTTTTAGGGCTGGGACAGCCTGGCCTGGCAGCTCCAGTGCTCCAGGGATATGGGTGTTGGTTTATCAAGCACATATTTTGTCCAAATAAAGGAGGCTTGGCACATGGCAAATGGACAAGAAGCATCCCCCTCCCCCACTGCCCACTGCCTTGCCCCCAGCAGCACACGCATGATTTTCCAAGACTTTTCTGTGTCATGCAGGGGCTATTATTCCCATTCTGAGGAGAAGGAAACTGAGGCTCAGAGGCTCATACTAATGGTGGGCCTACTGCGTACCAGGGCTTTATCATTATGACTCATAGACATGACTCTTTTTAGTTCTCCCAACTGCTGTGGGGAATAACTGATGGTCACCTGCGTTTCACAGCCAAGAAACAGGTTCAGAAAGGGAAATGGGTTGCCCAAGGCCACACAGCTGCTGAGGGGTGGTTCTGGGACTCAAGGCGAGCTGAGTCTGGCTACAGACCACACCACCCGTGTCTGCCTTCTGGCCAGTTCTCCCCTTGGTCTCTGTTGCTTTGAGACACAAGATCCCTGCCTTTGCCAAGATCCCTGTTTTCCTCCAGCCTGGAGCCAGGAGAGGGGACAGCAAGGGGAAGGTTTTGAGGTGAGAGATTCAAAGAATCTTAGAGCATAAAATCTTTGTTGAAGCTTTCCATTGAAAAATCAGTGATTCTTTTGGGAAGATCTTATAATGAACAATCAAACAACTTGTCTGGGCAAGAGTCTCCCAGAAAAGTAAAGTGATGTTGAAGAAGACAATGGAATTGTGTATAAGATTTCTATGGCTACTGTAACAAATCAGCACAAGTGTAGTGACTTAAAACAACACACATTTATTCTCTTACAATTCTGCAAGTCAGGAGTCCAGAAGCAGTTTCCCTGGGCTACAGTCAAGGGGTTAGCAGAGCTGGTTCCTTCTGGGGGCTCAGCGGGGAGAATCTGCTTCCTTGACTTTTCCAGCTTCTAGAGGCAGTCTACATTCCTTGGCTTGTGGCTCCTTCTTCCATCTTCAAAGCCAGCAATTGTAGCATCTTCTCTCTCTTTGACCTCTGCTTCCATCCTTACATCTTTTCTCTCTCTACCTCTACTGTCTCCTTCTCATAAGGATCCTCGTGATTACCTTGGGCCCACAGAGATAATCTCCCCATCTCAAGATCCTAACTTAAACCCATATGCAAAACCCTTTTTACCACTTAAGGTAACATCTTCACAGATTTCGGAGATTAGGACGTGGACCTCTTGTGGGGGTTGGGGGCATTATTCAGCTAACCACAGATCTCAAAAGTCAAAATCATGTAGGTATGATTGTGGTTCAGGTGTCCAGGCTGAGAGTAGGGGCAGGAAGTTCGCCTTTCATGTCCACCACCTGCCCTGGGAAGGTGGGCACAACAGCATCTGCCACGTGGGAAAGTCCTATCAGGTGTCTGGCCTTATTGCACCCCAAGAAGGCGAACACTGCCTTATCTCCATTTTACAGATGAAGAAACAATTTGAAACAGATTAAGGATTTGCCAGGGAGGGATGGTCCAGAGCCAGGGGCTGTGTCCGGGACACATCCAAGCCCTATGTTTCTCCCAGCATCTGGGGGCAGAAGTTATTCATCATCAGCAATGAGAGGGGAGGGCGTCTGAACAGGAGGAGCGGGCTGGCAGACGGGGCCCGCCCTCCCTCTGGGAGTGGGCGGTGCTGATCACAGAGAGGCTTTCTTTAGCTGCTCTCCCCGGCTCCTCGTTGCTCTCCTGGAGGCAGGCGTGCTCCGAGACGCTCAAACCCACAGCTGCACGCCCGCTCCCCGGATCTCCCGGCGCACCCGAGATGCCTCCCTCCGGCCTCGCGATGGTGAGCGGCCAGGCGCTCCCGGCCTTCCTGCTCTGCAGCACGCTGCTGGTCATCAAGATGTACGTGATCGCCGTCATCACCGGCCAAGTGAGGCTGCGGAAGAAGGTACGGGACGCGCTCGGGACCAGGCAGGGGAAACTTGGCCAAGACTTTTTCAGGGTCGGAGTGTGAGCTGGACGCCGCTCCCAGTTCCTCCTGGCTCGTTCCCTTCTGGTCCTCGGTTTCTGCCCAGCCCACTCCTTTTTATCATTTCTGGTTTAAGAGCATTTTACTCAGTTGCTGAACCTCCAGGTGAGCTCTTGGCACGAGACTCAGCGGGTTCGCCGCGGAGCGCTGCCTGCTGTCCCAGGGCAAAGCAGGTCCGGGAGGGTGGAGCGCGGGGAGCGTGACCGTATAGAGCCTCGATATTTGGGTGGAGTGGCAACTGGTAAAACAAGAGCTTGAGAAACCTTTAAGTGGAAATTCCCAACTCCCCGGTGAATGCTTTTTAACAAACCCACCGCAGCCTCCAGCGTCCAGGTCGCAGCCAGACTCCATCGGAGTTTTCGGGGAGGAATTTTCGCACCAATCCCAATCCCTGAACAACAACAACAATAAAGAGGCGGAGAGCAGAGGCAGGGCGAGCGAGTGGGATGCTCTGTGCCGATGAGACACTGGTGGGACTGGACAGCGATAGACTGGGGGCAGCCGGCGGATGGGCTACTGAATTCACATCGATTTGGTTGCAGGCAAACGAGCGGCCGGTCCTGTTAGAATGCTGAGAGGCCCCCGCGGGTGCCTGGGGTAATTACTTTGTTCTCACTCTGCGCGTTAATTATCTTCCCTGGTATTTTAATAGAGGAATCATTTCCGCAAACTGTGCCCCTTTCTCCCCCTTTGTCCATTTCAAAGGCAGGGAGAGGCTGGCTCTGCCACCCCATGTGGGGTGGAAATTGAGGGAGTGGGCATCTTGGACTCATCCCTGGCGCAGGTCCCAGGAGGATCAAAGGCTTCCCGCGTGAAACGATGCCCACCCAGTGGTCGTGGCTCATTGATTGCTTCTGACTTCTCCCTGCCTTGGCCCATCCCAGACCTGCGTCCAGGCATCCAGCAGGGACTGCTACATTCATTCATTGAGTCCTTCCCGTGTGTCGGCCACAGAGTTGAGCATTTAATCCCCACAGGCCCTCAGGAGGCATAGGCACCTCGTTTTCCAGGTGAGGAACCTGGGCTCAGACAGGAACCATCACTTGGCTGGACTTGAACCCAAGTGTCTAGGCTCCAGAGCTCACTTCCTGCTGTGGGGGGATGGGGTTCTGAGCAAGGGCCAACAGCTTTCCTTTTAAAGTGAATTCAAGGAAGGGAGGAGGTGAACCTGCTTGGAGTGCCCTTCTGCCCAGTCCATGGGGAAGTGGCAGGAGGAAACCTCCTGTTGGGAGCACCTTACCCTTGGTGTGGCTCCTTCTTGTTCTGCTCTTGGTGTTCAGAGGCAACCAGGAAGGACCTGGGCAAGCAATACAACGGGAGATGACAGATATGGGCTCTGGCTCCTCCACCTACCACCCTGTGACCCTGGACAAATCTAGTTTCCCCATCATAAAATGGGGATGACACTACCTTCCTTGCTGGACTACTGGGAGAATTCAATGCCTGGCACATAGCAAGCATTAGTCTTTGTTATTGCTGTGTGCCATCAAGTTGATTCCGACTCAGAGCAACTCTGTGTGACAGAGTAGAACTGCCTCATAGGGTTTTCTTGGCTGTAGTCTTTATGGAAGCATATCACCAGGTCTTTTTCCCTCAGAGCTGCTCGTGGGTTTGAACTGCCAACCTTTCAGTTAGCAGCTGAGGGCTTAACCGTTGCACCACCAGGACACCTTCTGTTAGTCCTCACTAAAAAAAAACCAAACCAAACCCGTTGCCATCAAGTTGATTCTGACTCATAGCGACCTTCTAGAACAAAGTAGAACTGCCCCATATGGTTTCCAAGGATTGGCTGGTGGCTTCGAACTGTGGACTTTTTGGTTAGCAGCCTGAGCTCTTAACCACTGTACCACCAGGGCTCTATCGTCCTTACTACTTATTAATAGTTTTAAAAAATCCACAGCAGCCACAGATCCCTTCTTGGGAGTGCATCCCTTGCCCCAACCAGAGGTTGCCAGGGTTCTTCAGACAGCACTGTGGCTGGCTCCTGGCCAGGCTGAGTAGTGTTTGAGTTCCGTCTGCAGAGGTGAGCAACTCTGCTGAAATGTGGACTCCAAAGGCAGGTGCCCCTGAATGCTGAGGCCCTTTGAAGAGCGAGTGGGGCCATCAGAGTTGGTGCTTCGCCGAGTCAAGGGCCAGCAGAGAGGTTTTGGGTGTGGGTTTTGATCATGACTGTGCACAGCAGACAGCCCTGGGCTGCGATCACCTCTGGGGCAGGGCAGGGTTCTGGGCCACCAGGCAGGATAAACCAGTGCTTGAGGGGCAGATGACACACACACTCATGGTCGGAAGCAGCAGAGTTTGGCCATTCGATGAATAATTTAAAGAAAAAACCTGCTTCTGAGATTCAGTTTCTGCGGTGGGGATGGGAGGGTTGACTTTGCCCAGATGCCAGCAGGGTATGGTGGAGCATGAGAGGTGGGTGTGGGCTTTTGATGACCTGAGTGTGACGTTATTCACTGGTTTCCATCCATTGAAGGCCTGCTTTGTACCAGGCATTGTGTGAGGGGCTTCTCCAGTTCCCTCCCCCATTCTTCACATGGTAGAAGAGCTTCATTTTATCCTAAGTTTAAGTTCAGAAACTTGCAGTTAGTCAGCACAGAGCCGAGGTTCAAGCCTGGGTCTGTTAAGGCCTTCTCAGGGTTCTTAGGGCAAAGTCCGAATTCTTAAAAAGTGCTTCCAAGATCCCTGTTGACTTCTGCAACTTCAGCTTGGGCCTGTGTCCTTGCTGACTATCTATGCTCCAGCCACACTGGTTTTTCCAGTCTTCAAACATGTCCAGCTGCTTCTGACCCCAGGGCCTTTGCATGTGCTATTCCTTCTGCCTAGAATTCTGTTACTACAGCCTTCCTTTTGTCTGATTAATGTCAACACATCCTTCAAGCCTCAGCTTAAATGTCACTGCCTCAGAAAAGCCTTCTCTGACCCCCAGACTCAATCAGGTTCCCTATGAATATTTTCAAGGCCAACCCTGTCTTCTCCTTCATAATACTCACTACCTGTGGACTTCCCTACTCAATGCGTGATTCCCCATTAGGCTAGGAGCTTCACAAGAGCAGGGACGGGAGGGTCTTGCTCATGGAGAGCCCCCAGCACTTGGCAAGTAGTAAGAGCTTGTGAATACTGGTTGAATGGATGTGTGTGTGACTCACCAACTGCCTTGCCATTGTAAATGCTGTCACAGAAAAAATAGTGACCCAGGGGACCAGGCTGGCCATCTTGTGAACAGTAACTTTCAGCTGATGTATTGCAGGCTTTTGCTAACCCCGAGGATGCCCTGAGACACGGAGGCCTTCAGTATTGCCGGAGCGACCCAGACGTGGAGCGCTGCCTCAGGCAAGTACCACTGGGCCATGGGCTTGGCCACTGCCTGTCCTTTTAGACCCTAGTGTGGATACCCAGGGGGCTGAGGTTTTCTGTGTTCCTGATCCCCTCAGACTATGTTAATGGATTAATTGATTTAATTTCTAATTAATTGTGAAAAAGTAATACGTACTCATGGATAGAATGACAAAGTTAGGAAAGCATATCCATCATAAGTCTGCCTCCCTCCCACCCCAACCTCCAGCTACTACTCAGTTCTACTCTTCTGGGGCAGACACTGCTGCCAGCGGCTTGTACATCTTCTCAGAGAGACTTTCTGCAGTTACGGACACGTGTGCTACCCTTTTTCCTTTCTATCCCCAAACCATCACCTTGTACTGTGCTTTTTCCACATCATAATGAGGCTCACAGAGGGGCCTCATTTATTTTATCAGTGCTATAGTATGTATGGAGCCCTGGTGGCACAGTGGTTAACAGCTTAGCTGCTAACTACAAGGTCAGCAGTTTGAATCCACCAGCCGCTCCTTGGAAACCCTATGGGGCAGTTCTACTCTGTCCTATAGGGTCACTATGAGTCAGAATCGACTCAACAACAACGGGTTTGGTTTTTGGTTGTAATATTTATGAATTACTCCACTGAATGGTTGAATCATAATTTAGCTGACCTATTCCCCTTTGAAGGCATTTAAGGTCTGTCTGGTCTTCCTCTGGAGTCCCTGAGTGGAGCAAACGGTTAAACGCTCAGCTGCTAACTGAAAGGTTGTATGTTTGAGTCTACCCAGGGGTGTCTCAGAAGAAAGGTCTGGCAACCTACGTCTGAAAAATCAGCCCCTGAAAACCCGATGGAGCACAGTTCTACCGTGATACACATGGGGTCGCTATGAGTCATAATCAAGTCTACGGCAACTGGTTAGTCTTTCTCAGTTATGAGCAGTGCTGCATCCAAACCTCACATTTGCCTTTGTGTGTTTGTGTGAGCAAAGCTGCAGGCTGTGATCAAATGGTATGAAATATTACCAGATGGTGTACAGATCTACATTCTCCCAACTGATGTGTGAGATCTGCTTCCCACGTCCCTGCTAACTCAGTGTATCGTCACACTTTTGGATGGATCCCTGCCAGTGTGATAGGTGAAAATTTATGTTACATTTTAGCTTTACTTTGCAGTTCTTTTATTCCAGGAGAGGTTGAACATCTTTTCATATACGTAACATCCTTCAGTCAATGAGAAACAATTTTTCTTATTGTAAAAATCAGAAATACTCATTGCAGACAATGTGGATAACGTTGAAACTACATAGAGGAAACAGAGGAGAAGGAGTCACAATCCTGATAACTATTAACATTTTTATGTATCTCCTTTTTTTCCTTCTATGTCTGAATATTTTTCATAAAATTAGGTGGACATCGTATACCCAATTTGGAGTTCTGATTTTTTTCAGTTAACATTATTTCATGCACACTTTCCATGTCAGTAAATATTACTCAAAAATGATTCTTAAAAAGTGGCTGTGTGAAATTCCATCAGAGGCTAAACATGGTAGCTGGGTAGGGGTGGGACAGGGGACAAACCCTCACATAGTTCTCAACACATTTCCATGCATCCATCACAGGCAGGAATGGGTGGGACACCGTTATTTAAATAATAGAAATCCTTTTCTGAAAAGAAAGTCTCTGTTTCTTTTTACTTATGGTTTTCTTGACCATTGAAAATAATATACATACTTGTGGTTTAAAAAAATGATAGAAATCTGTAATGTAGGGAGTGAAATTCCTTGCTATGCCACCCTTCTAATGGGACCACTGTTAGTATAGTGTATAGTCCTTCATACGATGTTCATTCGTTCATTCATTCATTATTCATTCCTGAGCGCCTACTATGTGCAAGGCAGTGTACTAAGCACTAGCTGTACATTAGTGACCAAAGCAGAAAAAGTCTTTTCCATACTGTAACCTCTATTGGTGACCCCTTATCCTACCCTTCATCCTGGCCCGCCTGACTGTCCTTGGCAGCAGATAAGGACATGATGAGCAGTGTTGCTTGGCTGCGGCTAGCCCAAGGCAGCTCACGCCAGCCACCAGGAGGATGTGTTTTGCCTTCTCCCAGGCTGCGGGGGTTCTATGTAGCTGTGCTTGCTTGTGACAGAAGAGGCCACATGGGCTTACAAATACTTGGTTTACTGGCTGTAACCATGCCTGTGAGAGACAACAGACTGGGGTGGTGCTGAGATGTGTCCACGCACCCAATACAATCTTTTCTTCTGAACAAAATGACCAATCATCTACAGATGTTGTTATTAGCTGTTGTCGAGTCAGCCCCTAACTCATGGAGACCTCATACACAACGAGATTGAGCTATTGTGCATTTTTGTTGGCTAATTTTCGTAAGTAGTTTGCCAGGCCTTTCTTCCTAAGTAAAAACAAAAACAAAAAAACAAACCCATTGCCGTCCAGTTGATTCCAACTCATGGCAACCCCATGTGTTACAGAGTAGAACTGTTCATAGAGTTTTCTTGGCTGTAATGTTTACAGAAGCAGATCGCCAGGCCTTTTTTCTGTGTGCCGCTGGGTTAGTTCAAACCTCCAACCTTCAGGTCAGTAATTGAGTGCAAACGATTTGCACCATCCAGGGACCTCTTCTTCCTAGTACTAATGCTTAAATTGTGGAGATTCAATTTATCACTTTTTGAGCACCTCTTACCTAATAATGCTTCATATCCATTTGACGAGTATTTATTAGAGGCCTGCTGTGTATGGACCTTGCCAGACCTGGGGGTCCCTGGGCTCCTGGGGGCTCCTCTGCCGCCTGGTTTCATAGAACCTCATGGAAATTTTGGGGGCTGAACTCAGAGAATCACACATCCTGCCATCCACTACCGGAGAACTAGCTGGAACCTGAGAGGGAGATTCTTGGAAGCAAAAGTTAGTTAAATATTAGACCAGCATTTATAGTCCAGTCACAGAGCCACTTTTCTGTCTAAATAGGAAAACGCTTAAGTCTGCCTCTTGGAGCCATAAGTCTGCCTTGCAGATTAGCACAGGCTGAGCCCCAAACACGAGCCCAGCTTTGGGAGAAACTAGGCACCAGGTCTAAAGGAGAATGATGAAACCCAGCCGCCCCCCTGTCATGACACCTGGTCACATCTGCTGGCAATGTGTGTTCTGGCCAAATTCTGAGGTCGTGAATATGAACTATGGTGAGGCGGCAAACACTCGACCCTAGCAGAGTAGACTTAATCTGAGTGAACTGGTTTGCTAGGAGATTGGGTTCCGAGATACCAACCAGCACTAGAAGGCCCTTGGACATCACCCAACATCTTTGTTTTGTTGATGATGAACAAGGCCCAGAGAGGGAGAGAGACTTGCCCAAGGCCACCGAGTGGATTCGTACACAGCAACCACCATTTGAGGAGCACACCTCTAATGAAGAAGCAGGTTTGCCAAGGCCACACAGCTAATCACCATTAAGCTGTAATTAAGGCCAGACGATCTGAGACTCCGGCTAGGTCCTAACCACTCTCCCTCTGCACGAATGGGATTTTACTATATTTTATACCTGTCTTTAAAACTAAGCAGTCATTATGTTGTATGAAACCTGAATTCGAGAAAATCACCAATGCAGATAGTGTGCAGGGCCAAGCAAACACTCCTGAGCTTCGAGGTGGGGAGGCCTGGGGAGGGATCACTGCTGGCCTGTCTGGATCAGAATGCCTGGGAATACCCCGCGCTCTCCCTCTCTGCACTGCTGTCACAGATGCAGTAAAATGCAGCCAGTGTTACAATGCCTGTTGTAGATGAGCGGCAGGTCTGATGTTGCAGGAGGCCATACAAGTCTAGTCAAGTGGGAATTTGCTTTGGGTGACTTTTCCCTTTAAAAAAGTGGTTGTTATTGGAATGACATGTTTCACCCAAATGCCTTCCTGGTACGTGACTGTCTCCCTGTGGCTCACTTCAGGTCCTGGCGGGGAGGGAGAGATTAGTTTTCTTTCATCATCCCTGGTTTCCCCATTCCTCCCTGTCCCTGGCACACTTGTGGCTTCATGGGGGCCCCACTGTGGTTTGGGACAGACCAGGGAGAGGGGCAGGGAACCCCGGGGACTGAGGGTCAGAGCCTTGGGTGTTCTCAGTCCCAGTTCTCAGCCACCTCTCCTGCAGCACTGGTGACCTCTGAGTCACTGCTGGCTGCTGGATTAGGGGGCAGGGCTCAGTACCTGTGTCATGGTTTTCTGGAAGGGCAGGCTGTCCCCAACTCAAGGTTCTACCCTGCACGTCTGCCATGAACCTCTCTCGTCCTTATCCCTCCTCTCCATCCTGTGTTTCCCCAACTTCTGGGGTGTGGCCATGTTTGTGCTCTACCTGTGTTATGATTCTCTTAGAGTTTTTAAAAAATGGACTGACCCTGAGAACATACATACTTTAAAAAAAAAAATCTGAATGAATGAGTTTCATACAGTAGTGATGCTTTTTCAGAAACTTTAAATAAATATATAAGTATTTCTAAAAAGACTCATTCAGGTAACACCTAAAACCATCCTGTGCATCACCTGTGATAGGCCGACCACATTTGGGACACACTGACTTAATCTAAAATAGTTTTTCCAAGAAAGTCCCTCCAATCAGTGCGGGGAGAATATATCCACAGCTCCATTTCCACAGAACATGGTGATTTGGGGGAAATGCTTTTGGTTTCTCCCTTCCTACCTCCCATGCTGTCTTCCACACAGGAAGGCGAGGAATTTACTTGATTGGGGAACTGGAGCGGCCCTGGTAATCAGTTTCCCTATCTCCTTCTTCCTGTTGTCACCTTCCCTGAGTCTGGCCAGGGCTGCCTTTTTCTGGCATGGGCAGGCAACACTTTTCCCCACAGCAGGGTGGGCTCCACTCCACTGCATACTTGCTTACCCCATGGCTGGGTCCAAGATCTAGATTTAGGGGGTAAGGAGAAGGAAGGCTCATGTTGGCCTCAGGATGTGGAGATAAAAGCACCTGCTGCCTTTTCTAAGTTTGACTTGAGAAAGACCCAGGCCCTGCTGGATTTACAGGGGCTTTTGTCCATGCAGATTGACTTCTGGACTCCTTATCCTGTTTTACAAGGCCCTTCTCCTACTCTTATCTTTCAGTAAGGCTGGAACACCACAGCCCTTGGCTAAGACTTGCGAATGGGAGGAAAGAGGGAGACTACAGCAGGTCACTACACAGGGGTTGCTAGACTGGGCCTGGCCAGTTGACTCAGCGTTGACAAAACGCACTCCAGCTAGAAGGCCTTGGAGAAGGGGCTTTTGTGCCCAGCAGAGTCCTCGTGCCTTACACATGTGGCCTGTCCTTGAGGGAGGTCATAGCCCAGGCACTGGGTTCCTGTTTATTTGAGCTTCCAACATGGCCATACATGGCTTCAGTCACTTGCTCAGTCTCTAATTTATGGGACTCAACCTCCCCACCCTCCAAAAAGGAAGCTGACCATTAATAGAGGTCATGGAAAATGTGAGCCAACTCTGAGTAGAAGCGGGTGCGTTTTCTTTCTTGGTCATTTATTTACAGAAGGGTTATACACAGGCCCCCGCCACCCACCACACACACTCACGCACTCAATTATTTTAAACAAGAAAAGAAGCAGGATAGCATGAATGAAATGAAGAGTCTCGCCAGGGCCTGGTGATTGGTCAGCTCCAGTAAGTGGAAGCTGTTCTTGTTTTTTTAATCTCTGAAGCAAGGTGAGGAATGGGGGCTGATGTTTAGGGGTAGAACAAGACAGAGTGGGGCATTCATTTCAAATGGATGCTCTTAGGTTCCAGCCCATTCCTCCCCCCACCCCCCCAAAAAAAGCAGTTGCTGTCAAGTCCATTCTGGCTCATAGTGACCCCATGTATTACAGAGTAGAGCTGTGCTCCACAGGGTTTTCAAGGCTGTGACCTTTTGGAAGCAGACAGCAGGCCTTTCTTCCGAGGCACCTCTGAATGGGTTTGAACCACCAACCTTTCAGTTAGTAGTCGAGCACTTAGCCATTTGGGCTACCCAAGGGCTCCAGGGAAGGGCCCAGGGAACTGCATTTGGAAGAAGGGCGACCTCAGTCCTGACTCAGAGATGCCCTGCCCTGGTGGTGAGGAGCAGACACTTCAGTCAGACCTGGGTTCGAATCCCAGCTCTGCCACTCACCAGCTCCACAAGGTGTTTAACCCTTCTGAGCCTCGCTTTTCATGCCTGGTATCCAAAGGCCAGAGGGCAAGATGCGGGACAGTGTGGCAGGGCCTGGGACCCAGGGAGTCCTAGGCTGTGGTAAGAAAACCCCAAAACAGCAACTGTCTTGATTCCTAGCCCCTTAAATGGGGACTTTGTGTTCTCAGCTGCTCGCAGGCGTAAAGCTTGGAGCTGCTGCCCCTCCTGCCTCTCAGGGATCTCCTTGTCCTGGCCACGTGTGGACTTGAGGGTCTGGTGCCCCTAAAATGATTTCCAGTGGTGTGGGCCCCTCTCAAGGGAGAGGCTCCAGCTCTTTTGACAGTCTCAAAAGGGCTCGTGGCCCCAAAGTTAACACCTGGCTGACCACACCCCCTTGCCTTCCCAGGGCCCACCGGAACGACATGGAGACCATCTACCCCTTCCTGTTCCTGGGCTTCATCTACTCCTTCCTGGGGCCCAACCCCTTCATTGCCCAGATGCACTTCCTCCTGGTCTTTGTGGGCCGCATGGTGCACACTGTGGCCTACCTGGGGAAGCTGCGGGCACCCACACGCTCCTTGGCCTACACCCTGGCCCAGCTCCCCTGCGCCTCCATGGCCCTGCAGATCGTCTGGGAAGCAGCCCGTCACCTGTGACCAACAGCACACGCCTCTTCGGCCTCTAGACCTCGGGTCAAGAGCTGTACTATGGCTGAACCTGGGGGACTTGGCATCCCTTCAAGACTGTGGTTTCCTGAGTGCATGGACCCCTGGGCTCAGCAGGCCTGCATGTGTGCATGTGTGTCTGTGCATGTGTGCATGTGTGCATACATATGCATGTGGGTGTGTTTCTTAGCTCCTCGAATTCCTGGATAAAGCGGCCAGTTGGAACCATTTAGGAAGGGTTTATCAAGATTAATAGAAAATCCTTCAACTCAGATAATAGACTATTAAAAACATCACTCCCTCTCCCTCTCTTAGGAATAGAAGAGTGAGGGGAGACTCAAGTTCAAGATTCCCAAACCTAATCATCATCAGCATCCAGGGCTAAAAATGGAGACGTCTCAGACCCCTGAGATTTTGGCTCAGACTGTCGTGGGGGAAGGGGGAGGGAGGGACTGGGCATCCGTATACTTAAAAGGCTCCCCACGTGAACCCCAGTGATGGCCAGGCCTGGGAGCCACTGGCACCGTCCTGTCTAGATGGAGGCCCAGGAATGGTGAGGATGTTATTTTGTGATTTCTTTTATGAGGGGAGTTTAGTGAGACAGCAGGTGGGTTTGTATACCTTTGTTCCCTCTTGACACTGCCCTTGCCCACTGCTCCGAGTTCCTTTGCTAGATCCTTCTCTCTCTGGCTCAGGTGTGAATGGAACGGTCCACAGTCAAGTGTGGATGGGAAGATTCAAGTAGGGTCAGCTTCCTCTTCTGGAGGCTTTAGTTGCTCCTACAGGCTGTCAGTTGAGATCAATGGGCTTTGAATGACCAACCACTGTAAGGAACTTTCTGGCTTCTTCAGTATCTGCAAGGTTTGAAACTGCAAATGTCCACCCCTTTGGGGAACTTATGTGTGTGTTTCTCCTAGACTCCTTCTAAGACAGGTGTGGTTTTAATCATTAAATGGAAGTGTCTGGCCAGCTCAGCCACTGTCTTGTAGCCTCTGACTACTGTTCCTGGTGTCCACCGGCCCAAGCTGGGCTATACCTCACTATGCGGGACGTTTCTGCTGGTACATGTCTGGGG